CCCACACACCCCGATATCTCCCAAAGATCACAATCCCTCCCCACCTCCTGCGTATACGCCAACATTCCATCCCGATCACTCGGATCCACATGGAAGAACATGGGGCTGCGAAGCTGCTGAATCTCCAACGTCTTGAACGCCCGATTCCACCGCTCCATCCATTTATCGCCCGTACTATCCAAAACAAGAATGGACGGCGAATCATCCTCCACTGGACCGGCTTCCGTCTCCACTGAAGCAGTCGAGGCGGACGAGGATAGCGAAGGCGGAGACCCCGCTATAGACTCTGAGTGTGTAGATGAGAAGGACTGCCGAGAGGTGTATCCGTGCCATTTCTCTGCCTTGACCTTTTTCTGCTTGCCGTGGCGAGCCTGTACGAGCGCCATCCGGCCGCTATGTTTGTTGATCCAGTGGTAACGCTGGTGCTCGTCGTCTGTGAACAACGCAGACGGTGTTTCTTCTTTTAGTCTGGCAGCAACGGCGAGTCCACAGGGTCCAGCGCCGACGATGATTACATCGAGGAGGTCTGGCAAGGACGGTGTGGATGCTTTGGAAACCATCGCTTATGGTATTTATTAGTCTCTTAGGGTTGTTCGGGTTGTCATTCGTAGATTCAGGTGTCCTAAGGAGGGCAGAAGTTTTCTTTGAACTAGTAGATACATGAAATACTCCTGTACAGCTTCTATATATCTACTGGTGGTAAATGATGGCCTCCCGGGTACTTGGATCCCAAGGTCCTTTAGAACCAAGAATGGCAGCAAACAGAATGGTGTGGCCATGATCTGCGTCATGAGTACCTTGGGGAGTAGGATGCTCTTGAGAAAACTTTTATTGATAGCAGTATGCTTGATTAGTACGGATTAGGCAGTATGTCAGGAGAGTGCACTGTATCTCTGAGGGGGGTTCAAGTCGTGAGGATGAGCTGATCGTAGTTACAAAACTACTCTTGTATGTACATACTTCGTCTATTCTGGAAACAAATTGGTTGATTAGATTACTATGACAACAAAATACTCAACATCAGAGAGTAACATTAGAATTATGAGGAACGTTCCAGCTTCCTCTTTTATTTTCTCTCTCTCTCTCTCTTTTTTTTCGTTTTTCTTTACTTTTGTCCCGTTATTTATGCCATTTTTTGGGTTTGCCTTCCACACCAGTCGCTCGCGAACGTGGTACTCCACCTCCCTCACGCCGATGCCAGGCATCATGCGGCCAGATCCAGCCTCTTACTCGTTTGGCATCTCGCTTTTCTCCAATTTGTGGCTCTGGAATCCATTTGTCTTTCCCTTCTGGGAGGATACGCTGCCGAGTTAGGGCTCCGGGTCCGCCAACATTCAGGTGAGATGACGGCTGGGACGGCAAAGGCACAGATTTAGAAAGCATTAGGAGGAAGTATAAAGCGAGGCTTGCCGTCATCGGTACATCAAGCTCCTCTGGGGCTGGTGATGAATATGCGTCTAAGATAGGAGATTGACTGGCCAATGAACTGTCGCTAGAGGCGTGGGCGATTGAGGGTGGCCGTAAGGGACTGGGCAGGGTTTCAAGTAGCCTTCGTCTGGACTCGCCGCAAGCTTAGTGGGTATAGGAGCTGAAACCTCGAGGAAGCCAAAGTAAGGCACGTCGTCACCCTCGTCGCACCCTGCCCGCACGCAGACAAGCTCGATCTCTGTAATGATGAAGCCGTATCGGCAGGAATGTTCGCGCATACACCGCTGAAGGTGCGCTAGACCGTTTAAATACTCAACCCGCCGATGAGGTGCTTCGGTGCGCATACTGGTGTTCCATCGGTCGAAAGTTTTGACGATTCCTACCAGCCGTCCACGGGGCAGACCCGAGCTCGTCCGCTCCGTATCTGAGGTGTAATTTGCAAGGAAATGCGGACCGCCATAGTTCCTGTTGGCATGGATCCGTGGGACAGGCGTAGCATAGAGCGCCAGGTGATCTGGGCCTTGAGACACGGCCAAAGCGGCATTCACTCGTGGTGCATATATATCTTGGACGAGGTCCACCAAGGTGAATTCAGAATCAGGACACAAGCGTGAACCTGAGACCACGGTTGGTGGGGTTAGATGTGACGGAATTGCCGTCTTCAGAAGCTTCGTGAGACCGTTGATCGAGTGGAATGTGGACAGAGAAAAAGAGGACCAGCTGCGCAAGTTACGGATATCCCACCAGAAGTAGTCATGCATCCCTCGTGTTGGAATGACGCTTACATTCCGAACCAGATTGATTGCTTGTGTTGGCCCGGTCAGGTATGAAAGAAGAGTTGTAGATGATGGGCTTATTCTATCAACACTATGGGAAAAGCCAACTGGTGAGCATTGAGCACTCGACACTTGGGAATAGCTGTAAGGGGAAACTGGAAGCACCGGTGGGGCCTGGGTTCGGGCTCGAGATGTGCGCGAGCAAGGACCAACAATAGAAGGCTGCGAGTACGGTGGATATACAATGATATTAGGCGTGACTGGGGTGGCAGGTGCGGTAGGGGACCCTTGTGATTGCCCAGAGTACTTAGAGAGCTGCCTGTAAGTGGAATAGCCATATCGGGCCAAGGTTGCCTCATCAACACTGGATGCAGAGCACGATCGAGAATGTGCACTGGGCACTTTGCGCTTGTGCGAAGACGTTATGCTCACAGGAGACGCCAATGCTGAATCAGCGTACATGGGCGAGACTGGGGATGCCACAGTGTAGTAGTCCACGTACTCCGTACTATGACGTTGAGCTGCTGCACGATTGGCAGGGTATGGTAAGAAACCAGGTGGATTCCTAGTGTTCGATAGCACTTTCCGATGACGCTGCGGTCCACTAGCTGGGGCTGGTTCAATGACCACATCCTGATCCCTAATTTTGGGAAGAAGGGCTGGCCCATGATGATAACGGGGGGGAGAATCAGTGCTCGGGCTGGTGACTGAGGTGACTGCAGACCAAGGCGAGGAATCATTGGAGTACATAGATGAGTCGGATGCATTGCGACTGTGGGTCATTCGAACGATTCCCTCATATGGTAGCCCTGGCGGAGTGGTTGGCCGATAGTATGAGTATTCCATGGTCATTGAGTCGAGCTGTGTAGCAGCAACGGTTCGATTGTAATCGGTGCTGCAGAGAATTGGAAGGACCAGCTTCCAGAAGGAATCAGGGAGCGATCTTCGCCAATGGATAATCAAAAGAAACTAAATGAAGTTGAAAGATGATTGTTCAAAGACAAGGTATTACACTCGAGTCATAGTCTGTACGAGTGGTTATGATAAGCTCTTGTACACTTGGGAGGCAGATGTTTGGATATAAATGTTCTTCGATCAGAGGCTCATACGGTCTGAATTAAAAAAAGTAACCGACAAACACGACCAGAATAGCAGCATATGAAACATGGAGAAATCTCCATACTGACGCCAAACTAGCTAGTCATCGTGAGCCATTGCCCACATTGGTGATGGTGAGGCAATGGACACCTGAATTGTCGGCATCTCTTTGGATGATGCGCGAAACAAACGAGCTTAGAGCTAATGGAGCAGGCAGACGCTGTTTCATCTAACAGTCGCGCGTCAATTTGTTGCTAAAAATTGCATCTGCTCGATTTCTTCAGATCTGATGGAGATCTTCACTGATCCCATACTGGGAATGGTTCGTCATGACCCGTAAAAGCTTCTATAATCAGCAACACTTGTGTTTCGTGCTATTTCTGGATAATCATAGCTAATTTAGTCCCGATTCTCCCCAAGAGCACCTCGCGTAGTAGATCCATTAGTCGGCGGCAAGCACAAAGCTAACTATTGGCATATCTTGATGAACACTGGTCCTCGAGGCACCGTCACAACTCCAAGCGCCGAGGGTTGATAGCAGGACCTGCAGGAGATGGATGGAACAGCAGCAAGAACCGCCGGACCAGACCAATCAAGGTAGTCGATGTTGTCCCAGAGACCCAAGAAGTCGGTACGATAGTTTGATGGTCCGAGTCATTCTAAGAATACTCTCTTTGGACAAACTTGAGTCGGAGCAATGGAGTTCGTTGCAGTAGGCGCCGACTCCCCTCCAGTTTGGCGCCAGGCTACCTGAGTGGTTCTTTCCCCTCGATCACCTGCATCGTTCTTGGCTTTCATGAAACGGACAAATAATCCTGAGTCCTCAAAAATTAACTTGGACGAAATCATTGGATTGGATGACGAGAAGGGACAGTCGCATAAAACAAGGAGAAAAGAAGGAATGATGAAGGATGATACTGCAGGAAGCGTCTGGCGCGAAAGAGTGCAAAGAGCTATCATACGTTGATTTCTCGAGATGGTTCTATTCTTGACATATCGTTCGTTTCACGTTCTATGCAGGGTTGCAATAGTTTCTATCTTTATCCTCATTAACATTGTCAATGTAGATAGGGTTGTGAAGAATCTATAGGAAGTCATAGAAGGTGGTAGTTAGTACTTGGAAATGATGTTGATGTAAAATACCGTCCGTTTAGACATGACTAAGCATGTCATCCAAATCGTGTCAAATGGATTAGATTAGAACCGCATCTACTGGTAGTACTCCGTACAAGTACATTGAAAATCATGGTAATAGTAAATCATATGTCAGAGAAATTGATTAATATGTTTAATTAATAAATAAGATCTTCTCATAAATCCGAAACATTCCAGCGCCATCTTGGGGAGGAAAGAACATCAGCATCATGCCCGTTCCTAAAAACAAGAAAATATTTTCCTTTCTGGGCTCCTCCTGAGAACCCAGCGCAAGAGAGACAAGGGAATAGAATCGACTGAGACAGTTTGTAGGCATAACCCAGTTTCCGAACTCTATCAAGGCAACCAAACACGACAATGCGGTCCTGAGGGGAATCTAATGAATCATCTAAAAAAGGAAGAAAAAGAAACTCATCATGTCCAAATTAACATCAAGCGCTAGCCATTATTCATGCCTTGACCTCATACTTGCGGCGGAACATATCGTCCACCTCAGTGAGGTAGTAGGTGTGGGGGAAGAGCGTCTCCGTGTTACCGGAGGGCTTGAAGTTCTTCTTCAGGTGAGCTTGCTTACGCAGGGCACACATCTAGAAATATAAAGGTTAGTCAAGTCGAATCACAAAGTATCAAGACGGAAAGGAGTTCAAGGGGAACTATCGCTTACCTCAACATAGGCTTGAGGGGCCAAGACATTCCTAGCGTTGAGGCGGTTGTGGAGGTCGAGCTTCTCAGCCATGTAAGACACGTCACCAACAATCTTCGCGCTGAACATGGAAGCAGCGAGACCACTGCCGTAGGAGAAAAGTCCAATGCGCTTAGGCTGACTGGGGTCAAAGGTGACATTGCTGAGCAAGCTGGCCAGGCCGGCGTAGACGGTGGCGGTGTACATGTTACCACAGAGAGTGGCAACGTCAAGGCTGGGCTTCACACGCTCAGCGAAACGCTTCTTGGTCAGACCCATGAAAGTCTTCTCGACGTTCTTGTCAGTGAGAGACTTGCTGTAGTCCAGATCGCGCAGCTCAGGGGCGACTTCAGCGAAAGCGGGGTGGGTGGGGTTCTCGAGGAAATCGTTGTAAAGCATACGGCCGTACGACTTCTGGACCAACTTGCAGGTAGGGGAGTGGAACAGGATGTAGTCAAAGCGGTCCAAAGGAGTCTTGGATTCGTCATGGGCCACGCCGTTGGTTCCGTTCTGAGTCTTCTCCTTCAGCGTCTTCTCACGAGCGGCGTAGGTCTTGTAGCAAGCATCAACAGCCTCAGTGTAGCACTGAAGGGAGTGCTGACCATCAACGACAGGGTATTCGCTGGTGAGATCAGGCTTGTAGAAATCGTAGGTGTGGGTGACATAAGAGCCGCGAAGACCGGGCTCAAAAACAATAGGAGCATCGGGACCAATGAGCATGGCAACACAGCCAGCACCACCAGTAGGGCGAGCAGCTCCCTCGGCATACAGGGCAATATCACCACACACAACAACGGCATCTCTTCCATCCCAGGCGGAAGACTCGAGCCAGTTGATGCTGTTGAATACGGCGTTGGTACCTCCGTAGCAAGCGTTGACGTTGTCAACACCTTCAACGTTAAAGTTTCCGCTCTCGGCAAAGAGCTGCATCAGAACGGACTTGACGGACTTGGACTTGTCCAGGAGAGTCTCAGTACCGACTTCGAGACGACCAACGGACTTGGGGTCGACGTTGTATTTGCGGAAGAGGGAGGAGAGGGTGGTCAGGGCGACAGAGTAAATATCTATTGATACTTAGCGAGGGGGAACAAATGAAAAAGATTCACAGGATAACAAGGTCAACATACCCTCACGGTCATCACAGAAGCTCATTTTTGTCTGTCCCAGGCCGATTGTGTACTTGCCCTCACTGACACCGTCGAACTTCTCCAGCTCGGTTTGTTCGACACACTGCGTAGCTTGTTAGCAAATGTTCTTCTTCTTCTTTTCGTTCTCTCTTGATATAACCCCGCTGACGGGTCAATGCACATACTTGCTTAGGGAAATAGACCTCAATGGCCTTGACACCAATGTTCTGGGGACGAGCAGACATAGTGGCGGTGTAAAAGGGGGGGGTAGAATTGAAGATCGAAGTAAACAACGAAAGAGTGAGAGGAAGATTTGTTTATTAAGGTATAAGGAAAACGGTGGAAAACAAGAAGTAGAAGAAGAGAACGAGGAGGGAAGACAAGCTGGATAGGAGAACAAGAAGAAGGAGCAGGGAGGAGCATATATAAGAACCACAAGAGGGCTTCCGATCAGATTCCCTAGTGGTAAGTAACTTTTTTACACATTGCGAGGCAAAAATGACCGGGTCCAGTTCCGGATTGGCTGGTGTGAGCAAAGTGGACCCCTCGTTCCGTCGCTCATGGTTGGGCGGGCCTGATTGTTCGGCCTGAGGCCCATGCGCCTTACGGAAAAGAGTTTAGCGGTACCTAGCTTAGTTGTGCATTATGGTAAGAATGGTAACGGCCAAGTACGGATCAGCAGATTAATTTCCCCACTCTGGTGCACTCCTCCATCAAAATCTATCTCCAGGATATAATGTACACGGTACTCTACATACTAGAACTCCTTTTGTCCTCAACCCATAAAAGAATTTTTGCAATCAGCAGTTGGGCAAAATGCTTGCCTGATTTCGAATTCCCCCCTCCCTGTTTTCTTCCTCACCGACTCTTGCACCACCCGAGTTTCTCCTAGTCAATCCCTGCTCTATTGTACATCCGGAGTATCATGATGGATGAGGTTGACGATAGTGGGCTTTGGTGTACCAGCGGTCCTTATCAGGCAGCCGTGTGGGTTACTCCCGTTTGTCCGTACCGAGTGTCCATTTTTAAATCCCGACCAGAGTTCCATACAGTAGCCTCGAAGGGCTCCTCCAAATTTCATTTCCTCATATAGCACCCGAGACCAGACATCATCACCGCTAGTACTAGTATCAGGGAACTTCCCTTCTCCTACATGGCCCACCCACACTGTACCACGTAGTGCATAATACACTTTGTCTTCTTCAATTGGGCAATCGAAAGTCACTGGTCGCGGAATACTTCACTGGCTTGAAAAATATCTGACAACAAAACTCGTATCCATGCCAAATAGTACCTTAACCTTCTCCTGGTCCCGTGCACACGTCAACCCTGTCCTGTCAATACAACTCAACTGCCCTTTGAACAGTACCAGTAGCTCACATCTTTCAATCCGTAATTAAACAAAGAGAAATCAATAAATTAAAACAAGAATGTGTTACTATTCATTCTCCATCCATCTCTGTACACCCTACGGGCCTCCTCCTTGTGGCTTTCTTGGTTTTCCCTTTCATGTTCTGATTACGATATCCACCCCAGTAGGTTCAGCCTCGAAAAGGAAAAGATTCCAAGAACAATCAATCTTATCATGTGGATCCGTTCGATTAAACCTGCCTGTACTCCAAGCACCTCAACATCAGCACAAAGGTTCCGATATCGCACAAAAGGTAGGTAAAACACATTTCTACAAAGCATAATACATTCCTCAGGCTATTGTATGCCCTGTTTGGTATAGTATGCCTGCCTCTGCTTGCCGTTCTCTCAGAATTGCAATCTCATGGGGGTCTGGCAGCAACCGTTCTTGCGGATCACAAGACCTGGTCCTCAAAGGTGAAGTTCAGCCTCTATGCACGAAATTTCCAACTTGGTTACAGATGAGGGGTACTAGCATTGCCGTATGTAGTAATGTAGTACGGAATCCATGATCCATGGGCATGCAAGTACGGACGGGCCCACCAGGTTTCGCGTGTTTCAGCTAGACTCCGAACATTCACGTACATGATTGCTTTCCGTCGTGCCCAGAAATAATGTGATCCGGCTTGACCGGCAGAAAGAATTCTTAGGCCAATTTCCCTGCATCTCGATTTGGTCGGTGGACCCTTCAGGGATGGCCACAACGTGCTCCGTACTGCGCAGTAGTACTAGGACTAGCACTACCTAAAGTGGACCTTGATATTCTGCCATTTACTAAATCTTTGCCACCGTTAGTTATTGTATCTGTTATTGTTGCTACGGTTACTTTCCCTGCTACTTACTTCTGCTTATCTTCCCTTTCCTATTTTGGTTGTGTCTTAGGAGTTATCGAGAAAATCCAAGCCATAGCGTAGGGATAACATTTATCGTTACTAACACTCACAGAATTATTTTTGCACACATCGAGGCCTTCTATAATGTAAAGGGTTTGTCGGTATAACTGATAGAGGCATCATCAACCTGTCGCTTAGGTCTTTCGGACTATATGACGCATTCTTCATGCCCATCCAATCAAGGTTCAGATGGTGTGGTCTCGGTACACGATCTTGCCCGGGCTATCGGCTTTAAGGAAGTCTCAGCATTTGTTCAAGAGATTATCAAGCGTAGAAGTAGTTGATGGAACGCCTGGAGATTGTTGAAAGCAATACCACAAAAACCAGCCGTTGTAATGTTGTGCAGCTCGACAGCTGGTGGCAGCCTGGTACTACCACACCGTTTTCCAACGCTACCACGGTAACTTGGAACTGAATATACATAAACTTGCCGTTAGGAGCTATCAAGACTCCGGCGGCTCCTCACGGACCAAATACAACTTCACTGGAGATAATTCGTACAATAGCTGAGATTTACGTCTTCATGTTCAATGCACTGAACTCACCATCAATCAAGGCAATATTCCAGCGGCTTGACTACAACTACAGGAGCCACTGTCTGTAGAACAAGACCAGAGTTGATAATGAAAAAAGGCGGTAACCATGATATAGCATACTATATAAGTTTTCTGGTTGTGAGAATAAAGACCTTTACTCCTAATCTAACCTTTATCTCCGTTGAAACCCCTTCTAGTTTATTGCTTTGGAGATATCCTACCTCGCCATGGACTAATAATTATTTACTTGACCCTTCCGTCGACTTCCAGGTCTGCTGCTGTCCTTTCCATTCTCGGTCCAGCATACCGAAGGTTAACAGATCATGCCAATCTCCATCGTACCAGATAGCTTCTCTTTGCCGTCCTTCAAATGTAAATCCCAAGCGCTCATAAAGACGTGTGGCACCTTGGTTATAGGAGAAAGCTTCAACTGCGATACGGTGCAAACCAGCTTTTCGAAACCCCCAATCTACCGCCCATTGAATCGCTTCGCTTCCATACCCTTGATTCTGATAGGGCTTAGCAATATCGATACTGATAGAACTTTTGCGATGATGGCCGTGACCCGGTTCGCTCTTTTTGAGAGCAATAATTCCGATCGACGTCCACATTTCCTGGGGAGGGCCAGCCGTCCCAGGTTGGTCATGGGCATTCTGGGTTGGCAGTAAGATGATAACTGCTAAAAGCGTGTCCTTAACGAGATTTTTCTTGTAGCCATTCAGTGTATCACTCCTCGTTTGAGGCTTCAACAATGTTGAGTTTGAGGTCGCATACGATAGGGGATCCGACTGGATGGAGTGAATGAAATCCTCGTCTTCCGGTGTATCTTCAATGGCTCGATAAGCTAGTCGCTTGGATCGAAAAGGGTTGAAGGTGGACATTATGGTATAACACGAATCCTGCAATGCAAACTGTCCAGTCCATAGGATATGGCAGGTAAGTCTTCTACAATTCAAATGTAGGATGGGGTTTCAATTTACAGAGAGAATCTGACGTTTAACCGAAAAGAGTGTCCGCCATATACACCGTCAGCACAAACGATATGCACATTGGATGTACAGATGATTTGACCCCACATGATAGTGGGTCTAGTCCTTTGGCAGAAAATAGACAGAATAGAAAAATCGAGATTTATGAACAGATGGGACGTATCGACGTAATGCCGTACAAATGGTCGATCCCTCCTAGGGCAGTTTCTGGACCCCAAGTTCGAGGCACAAATCTACCTTCCAATAGTTATAGATGTTGCTAGAGCTGGTTTCTTGTGACATACTCGATGTCTAGAGGGAGCCAGGATTATATGTAAAGAGAAGAACAAAAACGATATAGAATCAGGTATTCAATGAACGAGAAACGTTAGCAATGGTATACCTTGAGGCATAGATGTACGGTATGTACGGTATGGTAACCGTCATTAGGAACGATAAACGGTCATGGTCAGGTGAATCTGCGATTCTCTCGCTCTGTCGCTCTGTCGCTCTTCACTCATTCAAAGCAGTTGAACTGATTGAAGGTTCTGGTTTGCATCCATGGAATCTGCAAGGGGTCTGACGCTCCATAGTCATTCCTGACGATGTGTACCTGGCATAAGAAGGATTCAGGGCAAAGAGGAACAAAAAAACCCTTCTGCCTGCTTACGATCGGAGTGCCGAGCGTGGGTCTCAGGTCTCGTCTCGCCTGCGCCACGCCTTTTGACTAACATTCTGGGGAAAGGGCAACGACGACGCCTCAAACTCCCTCCGACTCTATCTATCATTTACTAATTCAGTATCGACCCGTTAGAGACCTCTCCTTTTCACGGACCGTCACCCTCCACGGTCCCTTAACCCCTTCTTTTCTTTATCCATTTTCTCCTAAATTATTTTTGTTTCAGTCATTCCTGCGTTCTCTCCGGCCTGGGAGTATGTTTGCGACTATCACTCCTTTTCCATCCAGATCATGATCCCGCTTAGTCCGGTATCTGTGACCCGGTCCAACTCGCACGGCTCCCCGGAGCCCCAGATCTTCCACCATGGGCAACGACAGTAAGTTCGAATACGAAGCCCTCCCTATTCCCTCCTACGAAGAGGCCGTTGGTGCCCGCCCGAGTTCCTCCCGATCCAACCTCGGCCCCGAAGCAAACGACGAATCCGAGAGGCAAGGTCTACTTCACAATGTCGACGATGTCACTGCCCGCGAAAGTGCCGGGCCTAGACCCCATGGATACCAGCCTCCTACGGTCGAATCAGTCCGAGATAGCCTGGATGGCCTCGACTCCCCAGGCGCCGACTCCGAAAGGGGCTCGCTCGAAGAGTTGCAGCGGGAATTACATGAGATGGACGTGGAGGACGGCGATCAGCAATCGTCTCAACGCTCTCGCTTGTTAAGTTCTCGATTCTCGAAGCGGTTCAGTAGTCTGACGCGATCCCTATCTGCCATTCATCTTCCTATACGCCGATATCTACCGAGTTTCCGCTTCACCATTGATCTTAATGACACTCGAACAAACTTGAGAACACACGGATGTATGATCATGCTGCGGTTATTCGGGCTATTCTTAGTGGTTTCAGTTGTCTACATCTTCTTCGTGTCGGATATTTTCAGCATGAACTCGCGATTTATCATGGGCCAATCTTATAGTGCGGCATCTGTGGAGAATTTCGTCCAGGGCCACGTTAATGAAACAAATATCGCGGAGAATTTGAGGAGAGTCACCAACTTTACTCATATGGCCGGTACCGAAGGAAGTTATGCGTTGGCGGAATGGGTGAAGCAGGAGTTCAAGATCGCAGGCTTGGATGAGATTGAAATGGAGGAATTCCAAGTGTACCTGAATTACCCCAGAGATGACGGAAGAAGAGTCGCTATTGTTGACCCTCCTGATCTCGCCTGGGAGGCTACACTCGAAGAAAAGAACGGGGAAACGCCCGTGTTCCACGGGCATTCAAAAACTGGAAATGTCACTGGCCCTATCATTTACGCCAATTATGGTTCTCGGGAAGACTTTCGATACCTCGCTGATCAAGGCGTCACCTTAGAAGGCTCTATAGCCCTCGTGAGGTATTACGGGTCGGAGTCCGATCGAGCTTTGAAGATCAAAGCTGCTGAACTGGCCGGCGCGGTGGGGTGCATCATCTACTCAGATCCCTCTGAGGATGGCTTCGTCCGAGGGCCAGCCTATCCGGATGGACGCTTTATGCCGGAAGACGGTGTTCAGAGAGGTGGCGTAAGCTTGATGTCATGGGTGGTGGGAGATGTTCTCTCCCCAGGTTTTGCGTCCACACCGGACGAAAAGAAAAGACTTAAGCCAGAGGAAAGCCCAGGATTGACCAGCATCCCTAGCTTACCCATCGCCTGGCGCGATGCCCAGAGGCTTTTGCAGGTTATCAAGGGCCATGGCTCCCAGGTGCCTGACAAATGGGTTGGTGGCGTTCCCAATGTGGACCAATGGTGGACCGGAGACGGAACGTCCCCCAAAGTTAACCTCATGAACTTACAAGACGAGGAGGAAAGGCAGCCTATCTACAACGTGTTTGGGAGAATCATCGGTTTGGAACAACCGGAGAAGAAGATCATCGTCGGAAACCACCGTGATTCATGGTGTCTGGGAAGCGCCGATCCGGGTAGTGGCACTGCTGTTTTCCTCGAGGTTGTGCGGGTCTTTGGCGAGCTCCGTACCTTTGGCTGGCGTCCGCTCCGTACTATCGAATTCGTCAGCTGGGATGCAGAAGAATATAACCTGATCGGGTCAACAGAGCATGTGGAGAAGGAATTGGACGCTCTTCGTGACCATGCATATGCTTACATGAATGTCGATGTTGGTGTTAGCGGTAATGAATTTGAAGCTTCGGGATGCCCGCTTTTCGAACGTGTTGTGACGCAGATTCTCGGACGCATATCGGACCCGGTCGCCAATGAAACGCTGAAAGAAATCTGGGAAAAGAAACAGAAAAAGCTCGGCCCGCTCGGGGCCGGTAGTGATTATGTGGCATTCCAAGATATTGCTGGAACCTCCAGTGTGGACTTCGGATTTGTTGGGGAGCCTTATCCCTATCACAGTTGCTATGAGAACTGGGACTGGATGGTACGGTTCGGAGATCCCGATTTCCAGTATCACAAAATTTTGGCTCAGTTCTGGGGATTGCTCATTCTTCAATTTGCGGATACTCCAGTCTTACCCTTTGATTTAGAAGTGTATGCCGATCATATTGCTTCATATGTTATTGATCTGGAAAAATATGCCAAGTCCCAGAACGTCCCGATTGCCCGTGACGCTTCCAATGGCAATAGCAACCGCGAGGTTACTGTCAATTTCAAGCCTTTGTATGATGCTGCCGCCAAGGTCAAAGATGATGCAGCGCAGTTCCAGCAGTGGGCCCGTGTGTGGCACGACACAGTGTTAGGCACTGGAGGTTTCGAGAACAATGTGATTGCGGCTCAGCGGATGGATCATAATGCTCGAATGGCTCGCTTCGATACTCATCTTTTAGACGATAGGATAGATGGCGGCGTAAGTGGTTTGCAGATTTTGGAACAACGGATGTAAGCTAACTACTTCTCGCCAGGTGCCTAATCGTACGCAGTTCAAACATGTCCTTTTCGGGCCTGAGCTATGGTCCGGATATGATGCAACATTTTTCCCTGCCATTCGAGACAGCATCGATTCGCGCAATTGGACACTGACCCAGGAATGGGTTGACCGGGTTTCCGACATCCTACGCACTGCAGGTGATAAACTCCTGCATGGCTAATCTTGCAGCATGCCTACCCTTTTTACCTCCCATTTTATCAACACTCTTCGATCCCCGATATTCTCGCCTCATCATTCGATACGATCGTCCACTGAAATTCCTACCGCATCTAAAACACTACTTAGACTTCCTCCCGCTTGTTTCAGCGCCTATTGTATATGTCTACCTGTGTTCTTGTCCTATTTGTTTGTTAGCCTCTGTGGAGAAATGTGGCTCGAGGAGCCATTGTATCATCCACCATCTCTCTACTGACCTTCATTAGAAGATCTCTTGTTGGGTCTAGTGATACGTCCGGTAGGCATTTTGCTCCTTTCCGCACTATATATCCACTTATCCTTGCATAACTTCTCCCTTTGTTATTATCTTACTGTATGTATCTTTCTGGTCTGATGGGTGACCACTCAATTATCCCATCTGGTGTTTATCTACCGGCGACAAGTCAGACTTGTCCCTGACTCGGAGCAGAGGAGTAGTGGGTTCAGGATCAATAAATGTTCAATTTCCCTCAACACCATTCCAGTGTTCGTGATATAAGAATCGATGTCTTTTAGGAGATATCTGACCGAAACCTAAACCGACAAGAACGGAATGAGACAAGGGTTTAAACTTTGATGCGAAATTCCTTCCTCTTTTATTCCATGATTATAAATTCTAAAAGGGCCCGCTACTATATACAAAAGAAATGAACCCGATATCTCATAGATATATTACATAGACAGTGTTGTTATACAACAGCTCCCTCCATTCAGACAGCCGAACACCACGCTTTCATTGAAAAGACAGCACCTGGAAAAGCAAAACGGTTTTTAGAATCAATCAGCGGCAGAAAAGAAAAAGATGCGGCATAGTTCCATATTGCGCGGATCTCTTTTTTCCAGCATCGTTATTGCGGCAGCCTGCTGCACCGACTCATTTTCTGAAGCTTTCAACGCCCAGCGTTGGGGTTTCGACCATTCGATCGCAGGGTACGCCCTCATCGCGTCGCCGGGCGAAGAAACTGTCACATTCTGAGACAATTTGGGCCCATTCCGCAAGAGCACGTCCCACGTACTTGTTCGCAACAAGTGGGTGGCTTATTGCAGGCTCTGGAGCTGGTGTACTGGAACCCTTCTCAGATTCCGAGCCGGTGTTGGTATTCTTTGAGATCTCTGTCTTCTTGGCTGAGGGTGGGTCATCTCGGGCGCTATCGCTCTCAGCTTCTTCATCGGAATCTATGTCGGATTCGTCGTCTGCATCAGCAGATCTGCGCAGCTGCAAGTGCAGCTGGGCTGCCACAGGCAGACAGGGAGTGAAAAGGCGCTTGTTTTTGCTGGGCCATTGAGGCCGGTCCATCCACTCCAATGAAAACTTAAAGGAGTAAGGCTGGTGTGCTGTCTTTGGTCGAGAGAGTTCTCCAGAGCTATTATTCGACCGGGAGATCTCATCCATGCGTTTGTCAGCAGATGCTGCGCTATCAGACCCAGTTGTGTCCAGTGACTCCTCAGAGCTACTAGAAGGTGATGCCTCGCCATTGGATTTCGAGGAAGAGCCACCGAACATAGCTTTCAAGAGATTCCATCTCTTTTTAGGTGGCTGCGTCTCAGAAGACGTGGATTCTGGTTTCACGGAGCTGCCGCTTATGGAGGCCGCGCTCTGCTCGGGAGGTGCCGCAGGGATGACGCGGTCAAATGAGACAAAAATACTAGGTGGAGTGAAATGATTATCACATCGGATGATGATGATTCTGCGCCCGGGTGCTGGAGTACAGGGCGCTGAAGATAGCGGCACCGTAAGTTCCTTTTCAGCTCTTGCTTGAAATGTCAGGTAATATTCCCAAAGACTTTGTAATCGGCTCCCCAGCACTTCATAGATTGTTCTACAGCAGCCTGGTTAGTATCGTTCTCTTCCCACATCAACATCCCGAAAAACCTATGCACTTACGAATCGAGCGGTGACGGGTCCCCGTTAAATCTACCCAATCTCCAACAAAGAAGACGATGAAAGTAGGCACGGACCATAGGGCTCCAGTGACAGAAGTAATGGTAAAATAACGACTCTTTCAGAAGAAACCCTAGGCAAAGGTCTGCCTTTCGCTCTTCTGAAGCGGTCCATGTGCTCCACACGCAGAAGAGGAAGGAGAACACACGGACTTCAGTAAGAGAGTTATGGCTTTGCATCATCCGATCGCAAACTTCAAGCCAGAATTTCCAGTCAAACAAGTCCGACTTGACCGACTGGGAATATCGTGTTATTATAGGAATGACTTCTTCAACGAAGTCGCATAGTAAAAAGCAGGCATTATGATCAAACAACGAGGTCTTTCCAGCGGCGGTTTTCATAACCATAGCAAAGGACTCGGCATATAGCAATCGGGCATGATTTGGTTCAACGGAAGATTCAGAGAGAAAATCGCGTAACAGTATAATTAAACGGTTCTCGGCCATCGATCGATGGCTGTTCGCAGCCCCCAAAGGAAGAGCCGAGACCGAAGCATCAGCACCTTCAATAAAATCGTCGAACGTGATTGCGGCAGCAGTGTGTGAGTTTGTTGGTGCCTGGGGGACTGACTGTTTATATAGAGTGTCCTCCAGAACGACAAGAAGTTGTGCGTGTATTGGCAATAAGCCTGGCGCCAAGACACGTTTGTCTTTGTCAACGTCTGCAGGCAACGCATCAGCGTAGAGTATGTGTATATATTTGACAAATACAAAGAACAAGTCACTATCACGGCCACTCCAGCGTGAAACCCAAGGGCTCTGCCACCGAATCTGCGCCGTGCTCAAAGGAACATCGGGCTTTCGGCGGAGATAGCGAACTAATGGCGTGTGGCTATGGAAAGATAACGAGCGAAGAGCCGCCGGGAAGTTCAGCGCCAGATCCTGTGTAAATGCGCGTGCACTACCACTGCCATCTACATTCGACTGGGTAAGAACCCGTCGGAAGATGTTGGGCGGCGTGTTCCACAGCCGAACAAGAATGTCGGCCACTCCTGGGCAGAAGAAAAACGCATAGGCACAAGCTTTCCCGCAAAAAGCCACCAAGCTAGCCGGAGCGTGTCTCATGGACATCCGTTCTACCACAAAAGCCATTTGAGACAGCAAATTTTGCGTGAAAATGTTCCTTATGTTGTGATGAATTGATTCGACGAGAAAATCCGAACTCCCGGAAGAGCCCTCCGAACTTTCTGAAATCGAGGTTGAAGCATGCTGTAGGGGCTTCGGTGAATTTCCATCAGATGGCGGCGATGGAAAAGGGATCCTCCATTCAGGTCGAGTCATGATCCCGACAACAGCTTCTAAATACACCGGCCGGTCAGTGCCCGATATAGATTGATTGTGCTTCCCATTAAGCATCTCCAACAATCCTATCCACCACTTGTTGAGGATATTAACTCGACGATCCAGGTCTTCCGGCCTCAATGACTTATAAGATGGATGAGAATGATTACGGTTGAGGAAAGGTAGAAGTGAAGAGCGGATGACGTTGGCTTTCAAAGCACTGGATTTGGATTGAAATCTGTGATAGTCAGTCGCCTGGATTCGTGCGAGTTTCCGCTTGACCAGCATCCCACAGACACTCACTTTTGAAAATCGGCCTCGAGGCCACGAAAAACACCCCAGAGTTCATCCTTCTTACGCGTGAAGTCTATACCGGCAGACGCAACCGATGTCTTGGGCATTGGGGGGAGGACTGGAGTTGTCACATTGAGCGACGATGTAAGCTTTTCCAACGAGTTCTTAGCCGTTAGCGTGAAAGGCGATGGAGTATTACTATTGGGGGTCGTGGGACTATCCGCTTGGCTTTGTGTTACGACCGCTACCATCGGCCGCCGAGGCCGTTTGTTCAGGATTGTCCGCCTGCGCGTAGGAACAGCGGGATCGGATTCTATTACTGTGTCCAGCGGAGTGAGACCCTTAGTCTGCGATGCTAGCGAGCTTGACGGGGATTGCTCCTCCGCACGCATTGTCCGCCCCCTCGAGCCCTTAGCGGGCGGGGAAGGGGATCTGCTAGGCGAGCTTGACTTCCATGGTTTGCGGGCGAGGTTGACCAATCTTCCGGACATAGAGCGGGCTTTAGAGGGCCGGGCCACAGGCTCTGGAGCCTTTGTCTCCGGGACTTTTGTCGTCTCTGGGGCTTTCGGGGGAGCTTCGGAGAGTTCCGCGCTAACAGGATCGGTCACATCTTCGGTCGAAACGCTGAATCGAGAGACGGTAATGATCGATTTCTCCTTGTTCCGCAGTGAGGTTCGCCTTAGGATGTCTTTCCCCGCTGCAACATCCTCCTTGGACGGGGATGTGGAATCCTTTGGGTAGGTCAGGTCTGAGAATGTCCTCCGGAGAGTGGGCGAGGCGGATTCCGAGGCGACGAGATCGGGAAGGTGGTTATAACTGGCGGAATGGGGTAGCAAGACATGTTCACCATCTCGATGATTGCTTATTGTCTCGAGAGAAAGAGGAGACATGGTCAAAAGTAACCAATGGTGACTATAGGTCCAAGACAAGGGAGAGTGCTGGAGGGATACACATCTCCCCCAACCGGGAGTGGATCGTAGTTGCTGTTAGCGAGAGAGACCAGCTCCTCCATATATTATAGACCCACGTCAAAGGGTATCAGAACATGTGCGAGAGGGTGCCCTTGAATTGCATCGAAATGGTGGTGTTGTCGCAACGGGAATCGCAGTGCAGTAAATGTCCCGTACAAGTCGGCGTGTAGGCAGACGTAGGGCAAGTGACGGCGTTCAACGAATGAGGCGCAAGTTCCGCAAATGAGTTGAAGTTGACAATTTCACTCAAGATCCAGATTATAAAGTAGTAAGGGTTCCCAGTATATCCGACTAGGGTCCCTCGTTAGTCGAAATTGCAACGAATGGAGAAGAGCGCGGGCGGTTGATCGACGGAATTTCCGAAAGTAGAGTTGGAGAAGAGCGGAGAATTGATTATGGGCGTTGCGGTCTTTATTTGATGGTATGAAACGAATGACAAAGTAGGAAGGTCTAGCCACGCTTATTGGCTCTTCTCTTCTTTTCTTTATATTTTGATTGAAAAAGGTAAACGAAGAAGAAGAGAGAGAAAGAGAAAGAAAGGGAGGCAAACAAATCGACGGGGAGCGGAGGAGAAGGGAGCCGCAGGGAAAGATTTAATGGGGAATTTTTGGAATACTAATGGAACCATTTAATACTTACTGTCTAGTTTCAATGGTTTCCACCTCCCGTACCGTCGAAATCCAGGGTCCGAGTTTCGTGCGAATATGAGGTAATGGCGGGCAACAATTTAACTATCTCTGTACACAGGTAGACAAGAAGGGAGAACCAATTCAAACCCACCTTCTTTTCTGTCCCTAAAACCTCTTCCATTCGTCAATCTCTCTCTTTCTTCTTGATTCTGTTATTTATATATTTGATTTTTGATTTTTTGATTTTTAAGTTATTGTTGTCCGTCATACATACATGTCCGAGTACGTATGCATCCACGTAGGGATGTACAGAAACGTACCGACAGGTATCGTTCCAAACAGCTCGTCTCTCATACTTCT